GATGCGGCAGCACGTGCCAGAGGTGTTCCGATTTCGGTGCTCCGACTTCTCTGGGCTCCGTAACTCGTGCCGTGGCAATGATGAGTTGTGGAATATTCTTGGGGAGTCGAACTGCTCCGGGCCAGAGCCAAAGAGCCCCTCGACTCTGTGACTCTGCCTGCTGATACAAGGATTTGCGGTACAAAGTCGTGTCTATTGCTGCACTCCAAAAAAATAGCTAAGAAAACCCTGCGACGTAATGCGGAATGGAAACTTTAGCAAGTTTTCAACTCGTTTGTTAAACATTAACAATACCTTAAAGCTCTTACTTCTGTGCATAACAACATAGGTTTATGTTGATAAAGTGAGCCATAAAACTCATTACTTACAACTGGCAGTATTATTGTAAAACAGAAATTAAGGTCCCCTCTCAAACATTAAAGCAATTAAATTAAAGGGTGTTTATTACAACTCGATTATGTAGTTGTTGTTGGCCAATTAAAATCGCAAAGTGTTAAATTACAAAGAAAGTACAACAATAAAAACTTTTATATTTTATATAAATTATACACAACATATTTTTTAACACTCTCTATAATTAGCCACCAAAAAAAGTTGTCATACAACTCCAAATGAAGTGTGAATGTTAACTTCAATTACCTTTTAAAAATTGAATGTCGAGCTTCAACACTTTTTATTGAACAATAGCTACTAGTTAAAATATGGTGTTAAATTTTCTTGTGAAAAAAGGTTTAAATTTAAAATTTAAAAATACAAAATACATGTTATTCCAAAAGATAAAAAGCTAATAGATTTTTGTGTAAATATATCCTTCAATTTAAGCAAACGAGTCTTAAGTACTTGAAGTTTTAAACGCAATAAAAAATAACTAAGCAAAATTACAACAAAATTAAGGATAATGAAATAATTGTTTGTTTCTTCTTATATGTTTTTTAAAAAGTTATATATAGAATGACCCATTTATATGTATTATATTTTTTTTAAGGTAAAACAGGATATTAGTTTTTTTTTAAAAACCTTTTTTGAATACATTTTGTTCAAGTGCATTCTCTTCTGTTATCTTGTCCAGTGTGCTCCACTTAGTGACTGCGATATCCACACAGGCTTGGGAGTTGGCCCGAGAGCCGTTCGAAGATGCTCGGATTCCCAGGACTCTGTGTTTTGTGTTTGGTGTTCACTTGCTGCTTTATATTTACTAACAGCCACTTGAAGTTCATCGCTTACAAACATATTTTCACTTCGTCCCACACCAGCTCCCATGTCCCTGCTCCTTTCACCCTGGTGAAAGTGCTTATCGCCTTATGATGGGTTCTGTTGAGCTCACTTTGGTTTAGCTCTGTTATCCCTGGCCCCTGGGGGAATTTAAGACTTGGGTGTGTGGCCAGGTAAATGCGGTAATTATGAACTTAAATTTCTGGGTCCCTTAGGCCAAGCTATCTGGGTTAATTGTTTAATTCCGGGTATCGACTATCAGACAGAACCAACTCAATAAGTTAACAACTTTTGCTGATAATTTTAAATAACCAGAGCTGCAGCTTTTTTGCGTAATTACAGCTAGGGAAGGACAAAAAGGACAAGGGGAAAAAGTGCCGGGCAAATGGCGAGTTGGTAAAATTTGTGAGCTGCATAAATTCATTGCGCTTATTAAGCCACCGCCAACACGCAAGACAAAGCCCCAAAAGGGGTCGAAATGGTACAGGGATTGGGAGGGTGCTTGAGTTTTGGTTGGGGTTGGCATAATCACACCTTGACCACCTGTCCGCGCTGACGGTTGGGTTGTGCTGCCTGGGGTCCACTGCATTTTTCCCCATGGCCGTTGCCGTGCATTTAATCTCGACAGCATTTCCTTTGCCGTCGAGGACGCAGCCCATGACATTTCCTACCAGCAGCCCCCAATCCTTGCTTCCGGCCCCTTTTTTTTTGCTCCATCTCCATGGCTCTACGGTTGGCGACGTTGTCGAAAACAAAAATTAGTCCTGCCGTGAAATGGGCAAAGGAAGTGGTAAGTACCAGAACAACCTACCCAACTATCCACCTACCCAACTACCCACCTGACCACTTTTCCGCCATCGCATCGCATCGGCATCGGGCGACTGCAGTAACCGACTTTGGCAGTAAAAATTCGTAATGTGCTGCTAATTAAGTTCAAAGCATAGTTTCAGTCGGTCTAGTCCTCGTGCATTTAGTCCTGTCGCAACCGCTAGTTGGATGGTTGGCTGGCTGGTTGGATAGTTGGCATGGGGATGGGGGATGGGGATGGTGGCTTTGGTTCGGGCGGGCTCAAGCCTGTTGACAGTACCAATCCTCACAGCATTTTTGTATGATTGCCCCGGAAAATACCCCGCCTCCGCAGGTCGGAGTTGCTCGCTTTGTGGCCGCCACATCCTTTATCCCTTATTTCTGGCAAATAAAATACAAAAATTGATTCCGCCCACAAAGGAGAGCCGGTTGCCATGGCCACACCCCTCGCCCCCGGGTGTGTGGATCTTACTGCCCTAAAGCATATACAAATCCTTTACTGTGGCAACTTTGCCAGCACTCGACAAAATATTTGTTTAATAGGTTTAATCTCTTTTTATGCTACGAAAATCTAGAAACTCTTGAGAAATTAAATTAGTTGGAATAGGGGTTCCTTTAATTGAAAATATTATTAAATCCCATCAATAAGAACGGCTTAAAGGTCCTTAAAACAAATCACTTTTCAATACTTTAAGTTAATTTAAAATAGAATTCAAAATTGAATAAATGCTAATGTTGATCATTTTGCAACTCTTTGGAATATACATAGTTTCTAAACAATTTTCACATTTTTTAAGCATGGCTATTATAAAAATGTGGGTGTTTCTCATACTCAATTTTTTTTTATTTTTACTGTGGCAAACTGCAAATAAAAATGCAAAAATCGGCATTTAAAAAATTATTTGTTTTGAGTGTGTGGCGTTGATTGTAAAGCTTTAAGGGAAACTGAAAATGAGTAGGAACCTAACTGGCATGTAAATATTTAGCTTGGGCGATTCCTTGGTCATCATAAAAATTTAAGGATCCTTGTGAAACGTTGCGGACACTTTTGACAGGTAGCCCGGGCCGAGGACGAGGGGCACTTCATTTTGCGCCACTAAGAGGCGGCGAATACACTTCATCGTGCACATTAAATTCATAATTGCATGGATTTAGCCGGCATTAAAAATGCAAAATGCGTTAGCTGGAGAAGGGAAAATGGGAAATGGGAAATGGGAAACGGGTTCGTCGGCGTAACTTCATCGGACGCATTAGCAAAGTTTCGTTGCCTTATTTATATGCAAACTGGACTCCGGCCTTGCCACAATGAAACTAATTGCCACCGAGTTGAAATCCGGCGAAGAGCCTTTGCCAAACTCGTTTCTAATGCGGCCAACGTGCGATTGTCTAGTGTTGATTAAATACTTGCCAACTGTGTGCCGTCAAGAGGATCGCTGGATATCGGGGCTGTCATTTTAGCCACTCCACAACTCCACTTGTTGGCAAACATGGAGTCCCTTTTGCATGGAGTGGAGTAGAGTAGAGTGACAAAACTAAACAACAGGGCCACAGCACGCAACTGTTTGGAGCTTAGTTCGCCTTATTGCGCCCGGGGGCATGCAACAATATTTGTCGTGCAGTTGATAAAACAGTCCTTAAATGTCCTGCCCCGATGGTGGCTCTGATTCCAGGCCAGACCAGGCCAGTGCCGCACTGTCGTTTTGTCTGATGAGTTTTTAAGTACAGACAATTACAAAGGACAACCGAGCAGCAACAAATGCAATCAGCTAGCCGCATGCCAGAGTCGCTTGCTTACTTAACCAAGTCAAGACCACGCCCTTCGTCCTGCGTCCTTCGTCCTGCGACCAACGCCCCCATCATCCAAACCCAAGCCTCTTCTGGAGATGGTCCTTCTCACAGGGTCCTGCGTTTGCGGTTATCATATTCTGCTGGGCAGTTTAGCTGCGTAATTGAATTAAATTTCGTTTTAAAATGTAAAAGGCTTTTGATTTGGTTTGTAGTCCTTGACGTCGTTTGTACTCCATGAAGTAATTAGCATTTGTTTCAATCCCTGAACACCAACTTTGCAGCACGAGTTGGCAAAACCCACAAAATGGTACTAAGTCAAGGAGGAAAGAACCAGAGAAGTTGGATTGGGGTTGTTATCCAATTGAAACTACAACAACTTAAAGATCTTTCAAGGCTATTACCACTGTTGAAATGGAAATAAATCAAAAAGTCTCTCTTAAAATTGAGCTTAAAAGTAATACAGTAATCAAAAGAAACCGAAAACACTGCATCAAATTGTAAAATAAGCTTCAACATAGTATTATATTTGATATATAAAAAAAAAATATTTATATGACCACAACAAGAATTTTATGATTTTATTTGGTGGCTAGGCCATAAAAACCATTGAATAATGCAAATATATCTAAAGTGGATCACCAAATGGGCAAGGACTCACATAAAATTTTACTGGCCTGCAAGTAAACATAAAAAACATATACAAATTTATTGTTGCGATTCCTGGCGAAATCTCAATAATATTACTTGATTTCAATGTTATTTATCAATCCAATCCGTAAGTAGTTTAAAAGAAGTAATTTGTTGTTTCAAATTATGTTTTAAAATATATTAAGAAAAGCTATCATAAAATTAAAGACAATAATACATGATCAAAATTTAAAAAAAAAAAACCTTCACCCTGAAAGATTAGTGTCTTCAAAGTAAACTACATACAGTTATACGGTATAAGTATTAATTCATATCGAGAGTCTAAAGCTTTAGTTTAAGCTATTATTTTTAGACCACACAAGTTTAATTTTGATGGTTTCGTGGTGTTTTTTTAGTACTTATCTTATAGAGAAGTTTATTACACCCAAAAGCTTAAAATGTATGTAGGAATAGCTAATTTTTTGTTGATATATTACTTCTTTCTGCTTTTTAATCACAACTTTTTATCAGGCACTCTATAAAAACCCAGCAAAAATTAAAAGTGATCAGTCTGAAAAACGAAACTTCAAAAAAAAACTTTCGGCTGTCAGAAAAGTAGTTAAGATATGTCCGGAAAGGCAGTTGGCTTGCTCCGCAACATCGATTGTGTGCGCTGGTACCGTGGCATGTCGTCCGTCCAAACGAATGCCTGCGATGAGTTGCTCCACGCCCTGCGAGATGACATGGAGCAGGGATCCACGTACCGTGTGCGACACTGTGTCTCCCAGCTGGGCATTCATCCACTGCCGGAGTCTTCGCGGATCAGGACCATCATGGACATGAGCCAGGGAAATGACCTGGCCTTTCTGTGGTTCCTGTGGGAGTTGGCCTACAAGCAATCCCAGACGTGCCGCAAGGATAACGAGCATATATATACGGTCAACGAGCAGCTGCTGCTGTCGGGTATAGCCCACCTGGACATGCCGACCACGCTGAGAGCCTTGGATGCCCTACTGCCACCTGGGCCTCAACCAAAGAAGCGGAGCACCCAAAACCATTCTGTTCAAAAGTCTGGTCCGAGGCAAAAGGACTTCGTCCTGCCATATTTTGCTCCTCCTTTGCGTCCTCGTCCGTTTATTTCAAAGGGCAAGATCCAACTGCCCGACAGTAAGCTCCGTTTTCCGGAGTACTCCCAGTACAGTGATCGGATGCACCAAATCCCCAACGAAACGTCACGCTGGTTTGCCCAGTACCAATTGTGTCCTGCCAAGAGGATAGTAAACAAGTTGCTTACCGAAGAGCTCAATGGGCTTAGCTTGGAGCCCTTGGCTGACACCAAGATGCCAGAACCTCTGTGTGAAACCCATCGTTTCTTGAAAAGAGCGGTGGAAACTGAACGACAGGCGAAAGTCAACTCAGACTTTTTGTCCCAGTTCGATGTTCCTAAAACTGAGATGGAGATTCGGCGAAAACATATCCTTCAAGACATAGAAAAGGGAACCGAATGCGCAGCTGACAAGATCCGTGAACTATCTCGAAGACCACTTAGCCAAGTGAAGAAAATTGGCAATGAGTGCGTAAATTGTCGATTGTGCAGCCAAATGGTATCCTCACCCGTACACATCTTTAAAAAGGACCATGATCATTCGGTGCTGATGGGTCTGGGTGTCGAGGAGAGTCCCAAAGTGCAACTGTGTGACCAAACGAAGGAGAACTTAATCAAGGTTATGCTCATGCATGCAAAAGAGGCCAATCGCTGTGGGGTTGGCGACTGTCAAATGCAGGATGTAGTTCTCAACTTGGAAGCGCATAACCACATTGGCGTTTTACATAAGCTTAAAAGGATTACTCCACCCATTCGCAGGTCGCGCAATAGGTCATCTCAGGGTCGAAAATTACCAGCAAAAGGACGAAAATCAGTGAAGAGCACCCTCAACGAACCACCGCATATACCAAGGAAACCCATTCAGAACCTAGCCGATCTTATTCCCAAGTGCAGCAGAACTTTGACACGTTTGAAAAGGTCTGCAGTTCAGTGTCCTGCAACTGACGTGAATTTTATAAGCAGGACCATCGATGGTTTTCAGCTGGACTACCATAAGATATACGATCTGCCGGCTCTGCCCGAGGAACGTTTGCCTTGGGAGGACGATGTCGTGGACCTGGAGGACAAACAGGCTGTAATTGAAAGGCTCTGCATTGAGGCCCTGAATAGTGGAACATCCAAATCGATAAAGGAGTTGCAGCAGGATAAGTCACTTTCTCCGATTTCAAGAGCAGTTGTCAATTGTGCTGTGGACATGTTCCGCACAAATGCAAACGAAGTGGAGGCGGAGGAAACCCAAATCCAAGTTGAGGAGCAGCAGCAGAATGATCCCATAGATCCAAACAACAATCAGCAGATTGAGAACCTGCTGAAAGCAGCTCTGAAGGTGCTCAGTGGTAATCCCCACTTTGTGCTGGCCAGCTTAACCAATGCCCACAAGATGCCCGTGCTCCTCGATTGGGTTTCGGATCGCTATGGCAAGACCTTCAGTCGGCAGGAGATGCGCGATCTTGTGAAGAACTCGTTCCACATCTACGAAAGATTCTATCAGAGTGAAAGGAACCATTGGCGAAAGACCTTGAGACTGAAGAGGAGTCTCACCTACCTGGGCAGTGCGGTCACCTATGCCAGCTACAACAAGGTTAGGTGCCAGACCAGACGGCTCAATGGGGAATACCAGGCCAGGCTCAACGATCTGGCGCTGGAGCAGACGCGTCTCACCTGGATGGCTCTGCGGGGATACTCGCACCTGGACGGCGACATCAAGGACACCTTCTTCGCCTACATGCCCGCCACGCAGCACGATCTGAAGCGCCACCATGTTTGGCAATCGGATGACTACCGGGACATGGTCAGGTTGCGGCTAAGGACTCGCAGCTAAATCGCTGGTTCCCGATGGCAGATCGAAGCACACATGACAAGTCATGGACTTCGCTCTGCCATTTGGAACAGCCATCGAACCATCGAACCATTGATCTGCTTTGTGGCGGTTAATTCAACCATTGCCATTGTTTGCCACTACTTAAACCAAACTATGTATAATCCCAATTAAAAATGCTGATGCCCAACTAAAACGCCCGTCCGGACGGCAAATGAATAGCAAACACGGCCAAACAGGGGCTTAGTTTCAGGTTTTCGGCTATCGCTGGGTCGCCAGATTGCCGATGGGTCGTGCCATCCGTCGTTGTTGCTCATTAATTAAAAACGGGGCGGGGTCAGTGGGAAGGCGCGCCCTGCAGCCGTGCAGCCCCAAAAAAGCGGAAAAGTGGAAGGGGGAGAAAACAACAGACAGCAGGTTGACAGGGGGGCGTGGCAGGCCGGCAGCCAACTGCTGCCATGAAATGGCGGTCCAATGACGCACGTGACACGTGTGGCATGGCACTGACAACTCGAAATCGACTCGCTGACAGGCAGATGCCGCCGACGGCCAGAGAGCAGGACATTTTCGAGGTCCTGATTTCAGCGGTCTGCTCTGGTCGCAGCTCTGCCCGCCACACTATGTGTGTTGAATCGGTAAGGCATGTGACAGGATTATGATATAAATCATTGCATACTTTACGACGATCGATTTAAGGACGGTCTAGTGCTTTAAAATAGCATCTAGTGCAACTGATTCTGTTTTATTTTTTTTTAACAATTGGAAGCTAAAAAGAATATGTTTTTTTTGGATGTGAACACTTACAAATTAAGTTATCCTAGGAGTCTGTTAGTTAAATACTTTTTAGAAGTACATAAATGGATGGCTTTGAAACCTTGGTTTGTGATAACCGTGCTTACAATGAAAATCTCTTAAATTTTAAGCCGTTGAGAAAACAGCCTGTAAAATATTGGGTATATATTGTTTGGCTGTTATATCCCATTTGGTGCAAAATGTATTAAAGCTATATAGTAGTTTTGAATCTCTAAACATTTTAGTGACACCAAAAAATTTTAGATTTTTTATTAAAATAAACAAATGTCTTTTAATTTCATAGTTTTTGTTAAATAAAACTATGATAAAATTCTGATTTTAAATTGTATACTTGCACATACAAAGACTTTCCTATTTTTTATTTGTTTTTATTATTTTTGAATATAACTAACAGTTCCATATTTGTCATTGACTAAAACTATGTCTGTTTAAAATTAGTAATTTTTATTTTAATTTGTTTTTCTATATTTACCAGCAGGGTATGTTTTTCCACTCACAATCTACTCAATCGAAATGTATTAATTTTAATGAAGACATTACAACCAGTTATGTTACATTTTGTGAGATTTTTTTTTTCGGTCAATGAATAGAGCACTTGTGTATGTGGTGCTGGTAAGCGAGAACCCAATCACATGCAGGGCCCCGGGGCGAGTGTTTTGTTGCGGACTCTGCAGGAGCTGTCGGATAATCGCCGGCTAATACAATGAGCTTTTCGTAGGAGAAGCCCCCATTCGAACGTCGAACAATGCCCGCCGGAGACGGATCCCCCATTGGCAGCGCCATTTCCATGGCCATTATATTCAATTATACGACAATAACGTGGCGCTTAGGGCGCTGCGGTTCACGGGAATTGAAAATAATAATAAAGCGGAACGGGGCGGGGCGGGGCGGGGATAGATAAAAAGTGCAAGCTGGTTTGCGGGTGGTAGATGGTCCGTGCACAAGGACTTGGGCCAACTATCAGCAAGAAATTATGATTAGCTTTTGGTAAAGTTTTCGACCGCAGTCAGCAGTCAGCGCGGGCACTTGGGAACTGCCACTACCGCATACTTTGCGCCACTAATTCGCCGGACGGACAGCGGACAGCAAAATACGGACAGCGGAATACGGACAACGGACAAAATGTGAGTGGAGCGTGAAGCCTGGAACCTGAGAACAAAAACCGAATTTCTGCTGGCGCAACGTTTTAATTTGACTCTTGATTGTTATGCCATTGTTGCCTTGCATTGTGCATTCGGCATTCTACACTCTTATTTCTGTGTGGTCTCTTTGTGTAATCGACGCTAATGCGCCCGAAATTATGCTAAACGAATACCATTCCGCCCACCATCCACTTCGGGATATTAAGAAATGGCAGCTTTGAATTTGTAACAATATTTTAAAGAACAAAATGGGCATGCTATTTTACTGACTTATCGGTGGGATTATGAATCGGAGGCCATTTCTTGCCGGCAGAACCCTGAGATTTGCATTCGCACGCAACATTTGTTAAATGTATCGTCATGTATGTCATTTCACTTAATTATGCCATTTACTTTGCATACAAAGCTGCCATAAGTTTCCCCCAAAATCTTGCGAAAATTTGAAACTCTTGACGTTTGGGGCGTTTGCGTTGGCCAGAAGAGGACAATTTGTCACAATTATTGCGCTCAGGATGACAGGCAAATGAAAACCAAGCAGCCGGAAAACAAGCTCCGGAAAAGTCGACTCCAAGGAGGGCTTTTTGACAAGTTAAATGTGTTCAGGGCCTGCACAATGATGCAGCAAATGCTCTCAGGAATATTCAGAAGCAGGACGAACCACCTGCAGGGCCATGTGGCCATGTGGCCATGTCCAAACTTGTGTCCGACATTTTGCCATATTTTTTGGTTAATTTCAGAAATGCAAATCATCGATGCCCTGGCGGAGCGGAGCACGTCCTGTCGCCTTTTTGACAAATTTGCCATCAGTGTTCGTGCGGCGATGTGCTCGTTACAACTTTGTACGGCTAAAATATCATGGATCCGGTTTGCTCTCAAACATTTTGCTGCCGAGTGTCCTTTATTCATTCTGACAACTGGTGCCTGTCGATCGTCGTGTTTTCTGTGGCCTGGTCGCTCATTTGTTTGCAGCTTACGTGCATAGTTTGATGTTGGTTTTCTGCCTGGTCCAGGAGTCTTTTTGGCCATTTTATGCAATGTTGGCATTTCCATTTCCTGCCTTTGTTTGGGCTTCGCCTTTGTTTAGGCCCGAAATATTCAGTTTTTGTGCAACGAAAAATGGATTATTTTTACAAACCAATAAGAGTTGAACAAGTTCAAACCAAATGTTTTCATTTAATTTTTACTTCTTTCGAATTTCGAGCATTCTTGCTCCTTTTAATTCCATTCTACCAATTGTAGTTAAAGAATTTTACAATATTTTAGTATTTACTGACATACTGAATGTTTTGGTTTATGTCTGCCTCTGTTTTCCTGCAATCAGTTTTAATATATATATATATATAAACTATTAATTTTAATTACACTCAGTAAATCAATTTCAGGATGACTGATGTAGGAGATTGGTTTACAATGAATGGTACTTCATGTTAGTTTATTATGATTGTAAAACGAGTTGAAGTTTGTTTAAAGTCGTAAAAAACCTACTAAGGAGCGATAAAGAAAGCTTGTTTGTAAACATAATAAAATGTCCAAATGTTTTATTTTTATTAATAAATTTGGTATTATATATAATAAGGGGGGCATAAAGAGTAGATTATATTTGGGAACTTTTTTTCTTGGATATAATAAAAGTTTTCCACTTTGTTTTAAGATTTTTGACCTGCCAGCATGATTTCGTTCGAATGAGTGGCTTAAATTGAAAATTTAAAATAGGTTATTAAAGCTAAAAGTGTTAACCTGCAATTTGATAACAAACTTACAAAATGGCTTGAACAACAAATTTTTATTAAGCGTTTTATCCTTTCTTTTCGGTATTGTACTTTTTTTGTTTTGCTACTCTTCAAAAAATTTGAGTACGGGAAAATTCCCGTATCAAATGATTGGCCTAATAAAATATCCGATCACGAACCTAAAGTGAGTTTATCTACTCTATGACATTAAGAGTGCTGAGCTTTCGAAAAGCTCAGACCGGTTCTCTCCAACTGCGCATGCGCAACCGTCTCACTGCAATTTCCTCAAGGCAGAGCGAAAGCAGCGATTTAAATGGAGACTTCGGGGCGTTAAAACCCATTCCCGATCCAAACCGATCGCACAGTTAAGTCCGAGACGGAGACGCGTCCGCACCTCGATTTTGGTGAGTTCCGATTTCTCCCAGTGCAGTGCCGATGGTGTGGAATGCCACAATGGAGTGCCAAGTGTATCAAAATTACCACTCGAATGCATTTAAAGTGCCGGAAAGCATATTAATTTGCAATATTAAATTAATCTATCTGTCCGTTCAGGTTAATGTCAACTAACAAAATGGCGTTTGTGAAAATTTGCATATTTGCTTTGGCTTTGGCCGTGGGTAAGTGTGGAAAAAGCTCTTAATTGCATTTGCCAATTAATGATACGTCAATACCATGGCACGCAATGCTGCCCTGCTGTACAAACTCTATTTGAATAATGCGCTCTGACTTTAATGCTCTGCCGCTGCTCGCATCACAAACAATCGCCTCTAATTGTTCGCCGCACCCAAATAAACATGGAACAAACCAACAAAAATACCGACAAACAACGATATGCAAATGCAAATGCTTTGGCTGTAGCTGGATTTTCTGCGTGCAGCAACTAAGCTGAAAAATATGGTTGTAAACATTATTTGCACCCATGTTTATGCATATCTGCAGTGTTTGTGTTTGCAATGCTTGCCCTCCCATCATGTCAACTGTTGTCCGCGTTCGATGGCACCAAACACGTGTAAATGCCATATATATAGCATATATAACACACAGCAGATAGCATTCATCGTGGGCATTGTCACACTTGTTGGCTTTGGGTTTGGGATTTTGCAGAAATTTCGAAATTACAACTGCAACAATTGCCATTACAATTGAAAATTCGGCAATTTTATTTGCTGGCAAATTCTCTGCTCATTTATTGTGTGAAAGCTCATTAAAAATTTGTTTGTCTACGATGCCCCAATATGCAAAAAATTAAATTTTAATATTGTTAACTCGCCGGAATAAAACATAAATTGATATGCAAGCAACTGTTGCGCGCGCGGGGGCGAAAGCCGAATTTAGTAATTACATTAAAATGGCCATGAAAGTATTGCAGTTGCTCATAATTAAATGTATAGCAATTTGGAGCCACGCACTGCGAGTACACAAACATAAATGGCATAAATTAAATTCCCAGTTAATTGA